GGGAGTTCTCGGTCCACACTCTGCTGAAGCCTCCCTTGGAGGATTTTGAGCACAACCTTGCTAGCGTGTGAAATCAGTGCAATGACTGCAATTTTTCGGTAAATCTTTAAAGCACCACTATATTTTTATCTAGTTTATTATTATTTTTGGTTTATTGGTGGGATGATACCTTTCCCTGATTTACAGCTTTATGAGAACTCAGAAGTTTATTTCCTTCCCCTTCAACAGTGTAAGAGTATTATGTGGCACACTACAGAACACTATTGGCTATGAAGTACTTAGAACAGGCCTTTCTCTCAGTTCCACAACCCCCACAGGTGCATTTGAACCCTGTGGCACAGTGGATAAACAGTAACACTGCACTCTGCTCATGAGCAGAGTTTGATCCCAACAGACTCAGGTAGCCAGCTGACTCAGTTTTCCATCATTCCAAGGTCTGTAAAAAGAGCTCCCTGGAGGGGCAATGTTCCTTGCATAATTCTCTTGTAAACCACCCAGACAGTTGATAATAATAACAATGTGCCATCAAGTCAATTCAGACTTATGGCAACTCTTTTCTGCATTTTCCAGGTAGAGAATACACAGAAGTGGTTTACCATTCCCTTCTTCTGGGGGTGCCCTGGGACTGTGCAGCCTGCTCAAGCCCACATAGGCTGGCTCTACTCACAGAAGACACAGTACAGAATAGAACTCCTAATTTCTGGTTCTGCAGTCAGATACCTAAACCACTGAGCTATCTAGCAAGCTACAGTCTAGCGCTATGGGGCAGTACGTATATAAGTTGAAACAGCAGCAACAATAATTTGATGGGGACATGGGAGAGGGCCTTCTCAGTTGCTGCTCCCAAACTCTGGAACTCTCTCTCATGAGAGGCCCCGTCTTCATTGTCCTTCCACAAGCAGGCAAAGACCATTCTCTTCTCTGAGTGACTGGCTGTCTGAGACAGATTTCTAAAAATGGGATGGTCTATGCCTTGCTGCTTTTAAAGATGTTGTTAGTATTGTTTTTACTATTCTTAATTTGCTTAATCCTTTTAAAGTGTTATAATAATTTATTGTTGTAAAATTTAAATATTGTTTCTTTTTGGTTGTTGTGGGTTTTTCGGGCTCTTTGGCTGTGTTCTGAAGGTTGTTCTTCCTGATGTTTCGCCATTGTCTGTGGCCGGCATCTTCAGAGGACAGCACACTTCAGAGGACAGCACTAAGATACCAGCCACAGAGACTGGTGAAACGTCAGGAAGAACAACCTTCGGAACATGGCCAAAGAGCCCGAAAAACCCACAACAGCCATTCAATCCTGGCCATGAAAGCCTTCGCGAATACATTGTTTCTTTTTATCACTATAAGCTGCCTTGGGGCCTTTTTAGGAGAAAGGTGGGATATACGTAAATATTTTAAATAAATAATAAAAATACATTGTATTTTAACAAGCAGAGGGCAGCAGAAAAATATATTGTAGTTTCATTAATTAATCCAATTAATGATGATATATAAATATTCTGATAAAGAAAAATGATTTGTCTGAAATGTGGTGCTGGAGGAGAGCTTTTTGGATACCAGAAAGATGAACAAATGGATCCTAGAGCAAATCAAGCCTGAATTATCTCGGGAGGCAAAAATGTTGAAACTGAGGCTGTTGGGCACATCATGAGAAGAGAGGATTCTCTGGGGGGGGGGAAAACAATTCCGGGAACAGTGGAAGGCAGAGGAAAGGAGGAGGACCAAATACAAGATGGACTACATCCCTAAAGGAGCTAACTCTTCCCCACTCAACTTCTGATAGTTTTTCAGAAGTTCCAAAAACTCTCCCTGTTGCTGAAGAGAATCTTTCCCCTCAGGTGCCACATTTATAGGGCATGCTCCTTCCCCTAACTTTTGAGGTTGGTCCAGTCTACCAGCTTAGGAAAATACACTTGTCTTTTTTCCTTGATTTCAGTTCTCTATTTCTTTAAACAATAAAACACACAGGAGAAGATAAAAGCTGCTTTGAGGAGCCCATAAACAAAAGAAAGGAACAAATGGATTATCACAATAGAGGGTGGAAGGTCTAAGTTGAGTAGGCCTTGATGTCTGAGAAAGGTCCTATTTTAAGATGTACAGAGCAAAATGTCTTCACAGAGGCATCAGTGAATACCTTTTTTGTTTGGCATGAAAGATCAATGAAATGATCAATTACCAGTGTACGCTGGAGGTCAAGTGAGAGGATACAATTACCACATTTTAAGAAAAGGTGCTCTGTCAAGTGCTGAAAATCATCTGTTATAGCATCTGATTTTTCTTATCTTGCATCTTGCAGGTAGCCTACTTTATTTTGTGTTTGGTCACTGGAAGTAAACACTGATTTAATTTGCCATTCTGACCGATAAGACAGGTGTCCCTAAGGAAATCCAGAGGAGAGGGGGGAAAACACATTACTGTATCTGTAATACCCAATTTTACCCCAAGATGGCCATTTTCTTACCGTGTGTGGCAATTACATGTAACAATATAAGATGGATCAATGTTGAGAGAGTCAGTATATTTGCTAAGCTAGTTTATTACTGACAACGATCAGTACGGAACTAGCTTAGCACAGGAATCTTGTGAAACCCACCCATTTTTTTTCTATTTAATGAATGATAACTCCCATGATTCTTCTCCAGTGGCCAGATTGGACTATGGTCATGGGAACCGGAGTCTGAAGACATCTGGAGGCCTGGAATGAAACTTCTTGAGACTCTCCAGCCTTGTTTTCAAAGCATTTTTGGGGATTGTTGCAGTGACACGGGTGGTGTGACAAAAGTTTAAACATGTTTAACCACAGACATAACCAAATGAACGTGCTTGTTTTTATAAGCCATAATGGTTACATTAAAATATGTCTGTGACAGCTGGCGCAAAGTTATTGTTATTACACGCCATCAAGTTGCTTCCGACTTATGGAGGCCCTATGAACGAGTAATGTCCAACATGTCCTGCCTAGCTCTTGTAAACTCATGTCTGTGGCTTCCCTTAGGGAGCTAGACCACCTTGTATTGGGTCTTCCTCTTTTCCTGCTGCTTTCAGGTTTTCCCAGCATTATTGCCTTTTGCAGAGAATCCTGTCTTCTCATGATGTGCCTAAAGTAGGGCACCCTCAGTTTCAACACTTTTGTCTCTATAGTTCAGGCTTGATCTGCTCTAGAGCCTACTTGTCCTCCTGGCAGCCCAGAATACCCACAAAGCTCTCCTCTAGCACCACATTTTTTAAAAAAAATCATTCCCCCCCTTTCAGCTTTCTTTACTGTCCAGCTTTCACACCCATAGATTGTGATCAGGAATAAAACAGTGTGGATGATCTTGGTCTTGTTCTCCAGTGACACATCCTTGCACTTGATGGTCTTTTCTAGTTCCTTCATTGCTGCTCTTCTGAGTCTCTGTCTTCTTGGCTGCAGTCTTCACTTCAACTGATGATTGAACCAGGGTATATAAAATCTCTTAACTATTTCAATTTCTTCATTGTCAGTGTTGCAAGATTCGAGACTGTCATGCTGCAACTATCCTGTTCTTCGTATTTCCTGGTCCGGGCATCCCATTACTTATGAACTGACTTTTCAAAAACAAAACCTAGTTGTGGAGTCCAAAATTGACAAAGCAGCCTAACAGCCACCTCAATCACATTCATTAAAGCACTGCTCTTGCTGAGAAGACCTGTTCCAAGGAGCAATGCCTTCCCCCATGCTGGCTATGCTTAATATCAGTACAAACTCTCTGCCCCCCACCAGCCCAGCAGTTCAGAGAGCTCAGGGAAATGCTGAATGGTGGGCTCTGGCACAGAGAAAAGAGACGCACCTGTATGTAGTTGTAAACAGCCACTGATGCCTCTGAAACTTCTACAAATCCATGAATCAGACCTTAGGTAGGAGGGCATTGCTGCAGCGGGCGGCTGTCACTTACCTGCAGGAGGGAGGGGAGGGGAGAGTGTGCCAAAGGGGATGTGGTTTTTGGTGGTTTTCACCCAGCTCATCCATTCACCTTTTGTTTTGTCCTGACCATTTATTTTGACCTTATTTTATCATTTGTAAGAAAAGCTGGGTCTCTGGAGGCGGCCATTTGTCTCCTTTTACAAAACACCTGAAGAAGTCCTTGTGGTGCCTGCGTGCCTGGGTGTCCTCATCTTTCTCTTCCCCAGATACAGTACTTCTGGATTTGGGGCGGGGGAGGGAGTGATTTGCTGAGCTAAAATCATTTCCTGACCTAAGCTCCTTTGATCACAGCGTTGCTGCTGTTGCTGGGAGGAACAGGTCCAAAGGACGATGCTCCCCTCTACTGGTTGGTCCCAGCATTTGCTCCCCCCCCCCATGAAACCTGATGTCATCGCCTCCGTGGGCTGTCACCCGACAATCCCAACTCCACTAGTCCAGGATCCGTTGAGCCAGAACCCTTGGCAGTACCAGGCGTGTAAGGGGGGACAGCGAAGCGATCCCCTCCACCGAGGGAGGAGCATCCCTTTGCTAGGACGATGGGTCGCTAGAGCTAGGCAAAGCCTCTCCTGGAACAGAACGGTTCTTTCCAGTAGATTTATATCGGATTGCAGAGAAAGTGTGGTTTTCACCAAGTCTGAACTATACACAACTAGGTACGCACCCTATTTGTTGCGGCGCAGTCACAGCATAATCATAATAAGCGCATCGGCTTTGATCCCAGCCCCACAGGGTTCTATGAGGCGTTTTCTCCGGAAAGGGAGCCTTTTGCGCCGCCGTCTCCCATCAGGGGAGGGGAGGGAGAGGCGATTTGCAGAGCTGGCAAGGAGACATCGCGGCTTCCCGACGTGGCACGGCGCTCTGCTACATGTAGGGAACGGCCAGGGTCGGGCCGCCTCCACGCCGGAACGGCCATCCGGAGCCAAATCTAACCCACGGCCCGGCTCCAAATCGCCGGCTGGCTGGGCTCCCGTCTCCCTCTAGCGGCGGATCCCAGGAAAACGGCTCCGTCCGGCAGCGCCCTACGTTTGCATAAGTCCCAGGAAAGGAAGGAAGGAAGGAGGGCGGGAGAAAGGGAGGATCCTGCCCGGCCGCCCGCCCTGCCTGTCCCCTATCCCGGCCATGGCGCGCGTCCTGATCGTGGGCGCCGGGCTGACCGGCAGCTTGTGCGCCGCGCTTTTACGCAGGGAGTTGCCCCAACGCCTTTCGCGCATCGTGCTGTGGGACAAGGCGCGGGGCGCAGGTAAGTTTTCCGCCCCCTCTTGTCTTAGGGCCGCCGATCCTGCCGAGGGAGGGGAAGGAAAAAAAAAAGAGGGCAGGCTGTAGGATTTGAGCAAGCGGGCGGCGCGGCGCCTGTCACTGGAAGTTCCTTCCCCCCACGCGCGCGTACACACAACCCTACACGTGTTTAGCACGATCTGCTCTGAGTAGAGGGGGCTTACACCCAAGTAAGCGTGGATAGGGTTACAAAGTGGGGGGAAGCAAAGTCGTGGTAAAAATGCACCATGATCCTACACCCACAACTTTTAGCTGCACTCCATGGGACTTCCTTCCGGGGAAATGTATTTACAACCCGGGATTTCGGAAGAACCCCTGCTTGAACACCACTGACACGGATGTCCGAGTCCAGACGACTAGGACCCGGTTGCAAGCCATCCTCAGCAGGCAGCCCCTTTCCCTAGGAGACTGGGTGGTGTAGGCGGGATCGTGGCCCCGGTGTCTGGAGGAAGCCACCCTATCCGCGCTTACCTGCGGGTAAGCCCCACTGAGCGCCACAGGCCTCCCGAATGAACCTGCAGCCGCTCGCTCTGCTCAAAGCTACCCGGAGACCGAGCGGGCTGGGCGCGATCGCGGGGGTCCCTCCCGCGCCTCTCAGTTACTAGGCGCCCCTGGCGCCGCTCGGCCCCCACCAAGGAAGCTGATTGGACCCGCGCGCGGCCGGCGTGCGCTTTAAAAAACTTCTTGTCTCCACGCACGTGATGGCGAAGGGGGAAGAATGGCGACGAGTCGCGGCGCCCAGGACCCGAAATGCACGGCCGACCTGGGAGCCCAGTACGTCACGCGAGGGCCCGAGCACGCCGAAGCGCACCAAAGGTGAGCCGAGGGGAACGGGTGCCCGTGGGTCGGGGGTGGTTTGCTTTAGCCCCCCCTGCGAGATCGAGGCCAAAGAGAGAGAGAGAGACGCGTGTTGCCGTAACAGGTGGCATTTACTTCTTGCTGACCTTTAAATCTCTTGCGCGGCGCCAATGAATGAAACTGGGCGCGCGCGGGGGGGGGGAATCAAGTGACGTTTAAGTTGGGGTGGAAAAACCCATTTAATCAAAGTACTGTAGCATCATTGAGTCTGTTGCTAAGCTAGATCTTAAGGAAACTTTTGGAAGAGACTTTCAGTACATCCCGTCTCTCGGTCCGCTGCGCGCTGCCTTTTTGGCTCCCCCCTCCCTCCCTCCATCGCTCTTTTGGAAGAAAATAAAGGTTTTGCTTTTGGGTGGTTGGGGCTTGCGGGGTCGTGTTTTTTTTTTCATTTTCTTTCGCCACGGGTGTGTTTTCATGCTTGGGGGAGGGAAGGAGGGAGGGCTGTCGTCGTGCGATCGCGCTTCCGAGCTGCGCGAGTCCAAACGGCACCCAGCTATTCCATCTCTTGCTCCTGAATAGATTTCGTGCGGTAGGGAGGCAGGAGAGGTGGTGGAAAGACGTGGGAGGGTATAAATGGGAGATGATGTCATCTCGATCTCCCAGTAAAATTCGGTGCTTGCGGTAGGGTGATTGTACAGTATTAACATAAAAGCCTCTGGAAACACGCATCGTTTTTTTTTTTTTTAAATGCATAGAGACAGAGGCGGGAAAGAAGGCAGAAAGATTGGGACTGTTTTGTTCCATCAGGATTCTGGAGCATCTTGGCATTAAGAGTGACTCATGTTGGCTTCTGTCACACACATGAAACCTGAGATAAGAGAGCCAGAGGTACAGATAGCAAAATATGGGGCAATATTAAGAATTGCGGTGATGGACCAAGTGAGGATAGCTTGTGAAGTAGGTTGGTGCTCTATTTCCAGCAGCCTAGGCAGGGCTGGCCCGTGCATAAATAATGCTACCTGGGGTGGGGTGGGGTAGGGTGGGGTGCCTTTGCGGTGCTCCTCCTCCTTGCTTCTCCCTCTCCCCCCCAAAAAAATCTGTTTTGCAGCATTGCCAAGTGGTGCAGCTTCTGCAGAATTGCAAATTCCAGTAAAATGAGTCCTGTGCTCCATTGATTTTTATCTGGAACGAATGACATCAAACTGGAAATAGGAGGGGAGGGGAAGAGAGGAACCCATTGTATAGCCAGCTGATGGAAATTCATTGTCGTATTTAGTAGTTTTCCTTCAGTGTCGGTCACTGCAGATATTGTGCTAAACAAGCCCTGAACCAGTGGGTCTGGCCTGGGCGGAGCTCTCTCTGAGATTGGTCTTCAGAATAAGCACCAGTTTTTCCACCACAAAGGTCTGTTCTCCTCTGAAGCTCGGTGGCTAGGTTCTCAACCAGATACTGTAGCTGTGACTCTTGACAGTGGCTATGTGCAAAGGCATGGACTAGTGACATTGCTTATTTCCACAGTATAAAATGCACAGAAAACGACTTTGAAACATACAAGATGAATCCAGGTTTCTGGTTTTTTCCTCATCAGTTGGCAGTCATAAACTGATAATAGCTTGTGCTGATTTTACAGGATGTGGAAGGACAACTGACACACCAATCAATGCAACAACTTTGTCAGTGGTGCCTTTTAATAAATGTAACATTGGAGTCTGCCTTGTGCTGAGAGAGACAGCAGTGAGCATCGTTGACTGCAGCAGTGGCCCTTAGACTGTTGTTAAATTCTGACGCATAGTCTCCCCAGTCTTGTGTTGACTGTGGGCTGATGGGAGCTGTAGCCCAGCAACAACTGGAGGACTGCAGTTGCCTGTGGTTTCTTGACAGGCACTAGCTGCAGCACCCCACAGTCTTGAGAGGGGTCCTGTCCAGTCATGCCTTGCAAAGCATATATTGTGTCACCAAGCTGTGCATGCTCCATGGCTCCCTGACTTTAAAGATACAAGCAGGCATTTACTTTTCAGAAGGCTGAATCTTGTCTGTTGCTGCATTCTGTCCATCCACTTAAAACCTGTCTATACAGATGCTGTTCTCACTGATATCTTGAGGCTTCCTATGCCAAAACTCAACTGCTAGATCTTCCCCTTGAAGCAGCAAGATTTCCCAGCTTCCTGGTCTTGTCTTCCATTTTATTTTTCCCATTTTTTCACCCATTGTTCCAAGCAGGAAACTGCCATCTTCTGTGCAGCTTAATGCCCTTTCCAGTGAATCTTATGTGGGAAGAATACCAGTCTATTCAGGAACTGTATGAATCTTGAGCAGCTTTGTGTTTTTTTCTGTTTTTGTTCCAGGTGAACCCTGTCCAGCAAAAATAACAGTTTGCACAGAAACTGTAAACTGTAAATTTTGAGGTACAAAAAACAAGAGAAGCCCATGAAATGTCTGATAAATCCTGTAAGGTTTCTTGGGAGGAAAATCCTGTGTACAAAGATCTTACTACAGTATTAGGAGAAAAAATGATTTTTTTTTCATGATTTCCCTCTGAGAGTGACAGGCTGTGAGCTTCACATCTCTATCTGTATTTAAGTAGTGCATTGTAAAAATATTGTCATAGCATATATCAGGAATAGAAAATCTTTGGGCCGTGAGATATTTTGGACTGTAGTTTCTGAAAGTTCTTTCCTTTTCCTTTGTTTCCCATGGGCTTCTGGGGGTCCAAAACATCTGGAAGGTCAAATCTACGGCACTCCTGTTTTACATCATACTCCTGGACAGATTTTCCCCACCCCAGTGTAGATTAGTTGAATAGCAGTAAAATATTATTTGATGAATCCTAAGACCAATTCTGTTGCCTGTAGAAGCGGACATGATCTTATTGAAGCCAATATTTGTATAATGGATTGTTCCATAAAATTGGGGTTTGAAAAGAAAATGCACAGGTTTGGTCTCAGAAGATAGATGCCCAAGTGGCTACTAAACATATTGACTGTATTTGTGTTGGGTGGGGGCTTTTTAAAAGGTTTTATGAAGATCTCTTGAGCCATGGAGTGCTGAAGCCATTGACTGCCCCAGTAGATGGAATGATGATGAAAGAAGGGGCAGAAAATTTTGTAACACCTCAGGGAATTTCGTCAATTGTCAAGCACTATTTAAAGGAGTCAGGTAAGTCTCCAATGTGTTTTTGAAGGTTGTGATTAATTTAATTTAATTTTGGCATGACAAAACCATGTTTTGGAAATGAATGGGGCTTCCCACAGTAACTGGCAAAGATTTGTGGGAAAAACTCTTAAATATATTACTGTGGAAACATGCCCTATTTGTAAAAGCTAAGTTTACAGTACATCTGGGCAGAAGATAGATCGCAGATGCACTGTATGGAGCCCTCAGGAGCCCAAATGCAGCACTACTGCTCACCATACCCATAAATATTATTTTGGACACTAAGCCCATTTGTATTTTCTGGGCAGTTTGGGGAACAATTTTGCCGTGTTTGAGGATACCCAAGCATCAGTGGGCCCCCATCTCAGTTTTAATTTTACACTTGATCTTAGCCAAAAGGCTGAGAAGCAATTTTTATTAGAAAATTATTTTTGACCACTAAGACCACCAGAAGGCATTCTCAGTTTAAACCATTTGCTAGTCGTTTTGTGGGGGACACAGAAGGAACCCTCCAAGATCCACAGATGGGCATGTGTTGGGGCCTTTATACTCTGGAGGTTGTCCAGAGAGATTGTGAGATTGAGAAAGACCTGCCTATAGATATTTTGTTGATTTGCAGCAGGTTGATCAGAACTCTCATCTCCAATGATTTCACAAAAAAATGGGGACTAAAAGATTCTCTCCATCTTAAATCAGACATTTCTAATGAGGAAAAACCATACACACATCCTTGGGTGTGAGAGAACTGAGTTAGATCTGTTAATGGCTCCCTGATTCTTAATTCTAAAGGCACAGAAGGCCCCCCCTTACATTGCACCCAACATGGGCTGGTGGAGCCCAACATTCTAATAATGGTATTTACTCTGAGGGAAGGGTATATAATACTGCAGTCTTTGGGTAATCAATTCCTATGATGAATGTCTTCCAGGGGCAGGAGGGATCTATAAGGAACCTCTGTGAATGCCTGTTCCCTCTGCCTCCTTATATGCATACAAATGAATGGTGAAGTAGGAATAAAGCTATTAGATTTGGCCCTTCTGTGTGTTTTAAACATTTATATGTTCATCCTATGCGTGAGTCAGCGGATTTTTCAATGCACACTGGTAAAACAGTTTCAGGTACAAATGGTTGAGATATAACCTCAACCTTCTCAACCCACAACCCACAGTCTGGTTGTGGCATTAAGACAGATATGGACCATTTAAAAAAAAATCAGTAATAATTATAATTTCCACACCCAATTAATAATAAAAGCAAAGTGTGGACAAATAAGCCATCTAAAACCACAGCAGTTGATATCTAGTTGACTTGATCTCACCTCCCCAATGCCTTTTGAATAAGGAGGTCTTACAAGCTGTTGTAAAAGCTGCCAGGGATGTCTTACTCTGCCCCTTTGACATTTGTCTCAGGGTCAGTGGCGGCCTGAAGTCTCAGCAGCAAGAAACAGGTAGGCAAAGATCAGATTGACTGTCTTGCCCCACTAGTGCTAGGTATCGGGTATACAGGCCAAGTTTGCTCTCTCTTTCAAACAAGGTTGGGGTCAAAGCTTGGAAAATTTACCTTTTTAGGATGGTGGGTCCCAGAATTCCACAGCCATTGTGGCCTGAAACTGACCTACGAGATGTAGAACCATCCTCCAAGCTGGAAGATGCATTGAAAGGATCAGAACCTTCGCTATCATGGTTTGGAAGAATAGCAGTAATGAAACTGAAGATAATCCCTAAATTATTTTTTTTATCTTGTATGTTACCCATAAAGATAGAGGATGATGAGGATATAAAAGTGCAGGATTTGATTAATATACATTGTAACAAAAATAAAAGACCAAGAATAAATGAAAAGTTATGGTATTTATTTATTTATTTATTTAAAAAAAGGTTTGGGTTTACCAAACGTTAAACTACATTACATAGTTAATCAGTTGAGGCATATTTTGGAAATTTTAATAAATAATAAAAAGATAATATGGAGTGATATGGAGTTTTATAAGAATGGGGAAATTATGGAAAATATGCTTTTTAAGGAAAATGTAAAAGATATTTTTAAAAACATAGATAATCCATTTTTTTGGTAATATGTTGCAAAACTAAAAGAAATTTAGAAGAATATTGAATCCAAAGATTTCTCCTTTGACTTATGCTGTGGAATTATGCAGCTTTCCACAAAATCTTAACAGATTAAACAAAGGTATTCTAGAACAGTGGGTTATAAAAATTAAATATTGAATAAGGAAGATGTACAGTACAGGACTAGGAGCATAAAAGAATTACAGTATTAGGAAAAGAAAGAATTACCTGGTTGAATGTAAGACAACTAGATCAGAGGTCGTCCACCCCTGGTCCGCGGCCCGGTGCTAGTCCATGGCCTGAGCCAGACCGGGCCGCGAAGACAGGTATAAAGTGAAAAAAGGGAGAAAAGAATGTAAAGGATGGATATAAAATAACAGCCTTGAGAGATATGGGAAAGAAACATAAAGAGAGAAATTAGTGAGGAAGTATGGAAGATGACATGTGAAAATAGAATAATGAAAAATATGTCTGTTAGTGTTACAGAAAATTGTTACAAAGTAACATGGAGATGATATTGAACAACAAGAATATAATGAATAAAGAGCTATCACCTATATGTGGGAGATGTAAGAAAGGGGAACGTATTTCCATATGTGGTGCACATGTGAAGAGAGGTAGAAGGAATGGAGAATTGTTTTTAATGAGATTAAGAAAATCATGGGGATATACAAAGACGTGAAATGTTAGCTTTATTAAATATTTCTGGATATATTCAATTAAAAGGGAGGGAATGGGATTGATTAATATTATGTGAACAGCAGCAAGACTGATATTTGCAAGAAATTGGAAGAATAATCACCTGTTTAATATGGAGGATTGGTATAAGGAAATGTGGAATTTGGCTATTAAGGATAGATTCTGAACTGAAAGTTAAAGAGGAATTCTGAAAGCAAATTGTTTGAATGAAATTTGGAATGTTTTTTTTTTAACGCGTGTATTTTGCAAACCATAAGGGTTATACCCTGACACAAGAATCATTATATTTCTGGAGAGATACAGAGTACACAATTTAAAAGAAATTAAGTTGATAATTAAAAATGGGGGTGGGGAATCCCAAAGGTGGTGGGCTACACTGTGAATGTGAGTTATAATTGCATTTTATGTTTTTTGTTATTATTGTTTTAAGTATATTTTCTAGTTATGTTATTTTTGAAAGTAAATAAATTTTTTTAAAAAGGAGCAGAACCTTTAACAGTAAAGAGAAATAACCCTTTCTTATATGTCCTTATTAATTTGTGTTCCTCTTCAGTTGTTGTCTATGGGGCCTTAGTCCTGCATATATCAGCATCCCAACCCCACTAGTTTAGGTTCACAGCTGTTGTCAGTGTCCCTGTTAGAAGAGAAAATAAAGATGTGAAACATTTTGATTTTGGTAGCTGGTGCTCTAAGGCAGGGGTCCCCAACCCCTGATCTGTGGCCTAGTGCCGGTCCGTGGCCATGACAGGACCAGGCTGCGGAGACATCTACTGCCCCCCCACATGAATTCCCCCATGCACCCCACCGCAACACATGCCCGCTCCTCCCCTCAGCAAGCATACTCCACGCATGCACAGAAGCGCGCCCCTCCCCCTGCAAATGTCCCCCTCTGCACATGTGCATGAGCGTGCCCCATTCATCCCTGAGCATGGGGCCGTGCCCCCATAGATGGACCCCCCAACTGTTCCACGATTCAGAAAAGGTTGGGTGCCATTGCTGTAAGGCAAGCAAATCAGCCAGTGTTGGCAAACTGATCTTTCTTGTGGTGGTTGTGGGTTTTTCAGGCTCTTTGCCCGTGTTCTGAAAGTTGTTCTTCCTGACGTTTCGCCAGTCTCTGTGGCCGGTATCTTCAGAGGAGTGGCGAAACATCAGGAAGAACAATTTTCAGAACACGGCCAAAGAGCCCGAAAAACCCACAACAACCATTAGATCCCGGCCGTGAAAGCCTTCACGAATACATTGATCTTCCTTGCTCTCTCTCTCTCTTTTTTTTAATGAAACAGCAGATCAGGCTCAAGGTGCAATTACGGTCAAAAAGCAATGAACACCTGAAAATACACATGGTGACAATCAGTTCCATGTTTAGAGTTAGGTTTAGAGCAAGAGGCTCAAAGGATTCAAGACATGGACGGGCTTATAAAGGATCAGTGTAAGAATACTAACAAGGTGAATGAAACAACAGTCTATACAGGCGTATAATAGAATACTGTAGCACCCCCATATCTGCAGAGGTTCCGTGATCTCTTGTGAAAGCTTGAAACTATGAATATTAGCAAACCCAATATATAATATGGCAAGGAGCCATGAGGCCTCCTCCCTTTTATGTTGTAAATAGGGCTGTGATAAACGGCGGATAACTGAAACCACGGATACCGATCCTGCAGATACCGATATCCTATTGTAACAAATATCAACCTGCAGTATTTCTTAGGGTAGTTGCCTGACACTCAACAGCCATTTTGCAGTGCAGTACTGCATGTGTCTCCTTAGAAACAAAACCTGAAGTGGTTCATTAGGACCTCATGTAAGTGCACATAGGATTGCAGCCAAGGTCACTTACAAGTGAACCCCACTGAATGAAACTGAAACTTCTCTTAGTAGTCAGTTATAACATGGCACCAGGCAAGCCTAGCCGAGGAAATTCCATGAACAGGATGACACCATTGAGATACAGGCTTCTCCCCTGTTGTAGTGTGCCTCATCTAAGACGACAGGGGCAGCTGGTTGAAGGGTTCATTATATCTGGGGCAGAGATAGGAGATGTTCCTTTTTTAATAACTGGCAACTCCCAGCATCCCTCAGCCAGTGTGGGCAGCAAGCATAGGCTATCAGGAACTGTGCTTGAAAAATGTGGGGTTGTTTCTCCTCCCTAAAGGTGTGTAGTTGTGTAGACTATTCGCTTGCAGGGGCTTGCTTTAATTTTCGTGCCAGAAAACCTGATGTCTGTTAACCAGAACCAGGTGGAAAACACTGACTGATCCCATAGTTCAGTGGTCCCCAACCTTGGGCCTCCAGATGTTCTTGGACTACAACTTCCAGAAGCCTTCACCATCACCTCTGCTGGCCAGGATTTTGGGAAGTTGAAGTCCAAGAACAACTAGAGGCCCAAGGTTGGGGACCACTGCCGTAGCTGGTTTATCTGCTGCATGAAGAAACATTTCCTTTTCTCTGTCTTGAATCACCTGCCATTCAGACCTTTGGTTCTAGTATTAAAGTTTTGTCTGTTTCACTTTATAGACATTTTGCATTTGTTTCCCACCTTTCTATGTTTGTCTCTCTTTTTTAAGCTAAAAAAGGAAAGTCCCCTGCTGTGGTGACCTTCCTTATAGGGCACTTTCTTCAGCCATTTGATCGTGTTGATTACTCCTGACACCTCTGGAGTCCTTCATTTTTGGAACAAAGATTAAGTTGTCTTTCTATTTTGAAACAGGTGCAGACATCTTTTATGACCACCGTGTTACTCAAATCTACCTCAAAAATGGAAAATGGGAAGTCTGCACCAACACAGGGTCCTCAGACAAGTTTGACATAGTTATTCTCACCATGCCTGTCCCGCAGATTCTTCAGCTTCAAGGAGACATTGTGAACCGTAAGTTTCCATGTTCAGTTTTGATTGATAGATGTGACTTTCTACTTACACTTCTCCCTTAAATTGCATTGGTCCAAGCAGTGTGGATTTTATTATACACGGATATTTTTCTTCTTTTTTGGTGGTGGTGGGGAGAAGAGTTGGGCTCCCCACCCCTCTTTAAGGCAGCTAAAGGACAGAATATTATTATTATACTCTTATGCCCCCTAAATGGATTTTGAACTACTTCAGTGCCCCTAACCCCAGCATTGTTGAAGGAAGAAGTGTACATTTGTAACTTGTCTTCCAAAGAGCTCAGAATGGTATGTATAATATCTCCCTTCTGATAACTCTGTGAGGGAGCTGAGGCTGGGAGAAAGCAAGAGGGTATATCAAATACCCGTAATTTTCTTGCCTTGACAGAAAAGTATATGGAAACATCAAGATACCCTATCCAAAAATATTTGTAATTAAAAAAACTAGCACTTTTTAAAAGCTTATAGCATTAACCAATCAAACCCCCCATTGTTGTTTTGTGCACAAAAATCTTGCATTTTATTGAAAATAGAAAATTTTCTAAACAAAATGCAGGGCTTTTGCACAAAGCATCTGTCTTGTTTTAGAAAAAAAATTAATGTTTTTAAGGGTTTTTAATGGCAATTTTGTTGTGTTTTTTTAAAAAATGTTATTTCTCATTGAGTTTTTACCTGTGCTTGATTATATTGTTTAATGGATTGTGTGCCATTTTGGGTTCCTCTGCTATGGTAGTAGAAGGAAGCATATAGAGTAAATAAATTAAATAATAATAAATAAATGCACAAATATGTAACTATGAAAAATGCATATATATTCGTTATCTTCCTCAGTGGAGAAAACCTATGATTTTTTTATTTATACCTGTGGGAATAAAATAAGAGGTTTGCATCCCTATTAATGACTAAATTGGTTTTGAACCCTGATGTTTTGGCCCTTGTCCAGCAGTCACAGCCATGCCACATTGGCCTTTTTGTCGGTTCTCACTGAAATTATGAAGGTTGCTATGTTATGTGTTTATGCATATTTTTATTTTATTTTTTTTATTTATAAGAATGTATAAGAATTTATAAGAAAATATATATATTGAAATCAAGATGAGCTTATCTGTTTCTGATTCTTTGGAAGCAAGATGATGTGATCTGGCTGTTTTTGCAAATATTAGCTGTTTTTGCAATTCTATATTAAGAGCATGCAGGGAAAGTAGGTTTTCATAAAGGGGTATGGCACATTTTATAATAAAATAGGGCTTTCCTATGTCAGACTGAAAACAGAAAAAAATAGAGGTTTCTTAGCAAGCAAAAATGTTGAAGGTTTGCATATTTCCTGCTTTCTTCAACAGCCTTCATTAAGGATATATCACACATTAAAAATATTGTTGCTTACATGTGAAGCTGCCCCATGGATCAGTCACCTTTCTTCACTCAATCTTGCTTCATTTTTGTTTTTTGTTTTGTTTTTTCGTTCCTCTCAGATGGCCACCTCATCCATGTCATCTGTACACACTGTTTGTGACTGTGTGCTGTTAATTGGGGAAAGGCTTTTCTCATACAAGATTCTCCTAGCTCTTACTTACATGTCATTTTGGCATCAGAGAAGGACATTTTTACTTTCTTGTCAGTCCTGCGTGTGCTATCGGGTGGCTTTGATCATGGTTTTATCCATTCCACTATATAGTTGTGGTTCTGTTTTTGCGGTACTTCTACCGTGTCATCTTGCACTGGCTTTGTCTCTCTCTCTGTGTGTTTTATTTTTATTTTTTTTTCTGTGACAGTATTGCAAGCTGCCTTCTTGTTTTGACAAGGAGTTGTCTAAAGAAATGCATGCATGCCTTTTCTGTAATATCTGAGACAAATCCTTCCAGAAAGGAAGGACAGGTGCCCCTTTGCTTGTAAAAATCAGATGTGATTTGCAGAAACAAATTAGACAGGCAACAGAATCCTCCATTCACATGGTGTCTTCTACCATACCTAAGGGCAGAAAATTAGCTTAGTGGGGTATAGGACAACTTAGAGTGAGGTTTTAGCTCAGAGAGCATAGGGCAGGTCCAGGTACACACCGTTCTTTCCAGTGGTCACACATCTTCCACTTGAGGCAGCCACCTCACTCTGCCTAACGGTAGATTTCCTGTTCCTTCATGAAAATTAGCAGGGCATGTTCTCACTAAGTCGGTATATGAGTAGGCCGTTCTATTTCAGACTGCAATGGAAAAATCAAGCGATGACATTTACCATCTAAAGGGAGGGGAGATTCCTGTACCCAGAAGCTAGATGTTGGGGATAGCTTAGCCTTCTCCCTCACGTACTGATTTTTGGAGTGGAGGGGGGCTTTTTCTTGTACCGAGGAACGTTCACTTAAGCTCTCATTTTCAGTCTGAGGTATCACAGTCCAAACACGGCTTCACCATCTTAATGAAAACTAGGTCTCGTCTGTCAGCCTGGTGTGCATTTCCCCATTCTGTTTTGTTGGCTGGTATAAAGGGGAAAGAAAGGGGAATGTTGAGATCAGGAAATGGGACGTAGTAAAATGTCTTAGATTTCTTGGATGCCAAAGAGAAAAAGAGAGAGAAAATTTAGTGAATTGTTGGTATTCGGGCTATAGCTGCGTTTTTAGTGTACAGTTAGATATACTTGCAGAGCAAATAGTAAGGCCTTCTGCAAATGTTTTTCAAAAACATAAATTAGATTCTCTTTTATACCTTTTTTAATTAAGCTCAATTAAAAAAATTATTATGCCAAGCCCACCAGCCTCTCTTTAATTTTACCCACCCTGTAGCCCAATTGTAGGACAAACGTCGAAATTGACTCTACCATCTCCAGAATGTCTGGATCTCTGCTTGTTGAACATTGATATAGGCAAATCAAATAGTTAATCATTTATTTCGGTCTGTCTGTTGACTGAGCACTTGAACTAAAACATATCCACTGTGTTTTGGTGTATATTTATCTTAGAGGACATTCGTCCAATTCTTTCACGTTGTTTGAAAAAATAGGCTTGTGATATTTCAAGTCTTGTTTCTCAGTGTCTGTATCTTGATATATGCTTGTGATTCAGTTATGGCATTTGATCGTTTGTGATTTTTCTGCTGGTGTACAACCTTATGAAGCCACTTTATAATCTTAATTTTACCTCTTAAATTGATATTGCAGATGTACCTAATTGGACATAAGTTCTGTTGAAATCAATAAGGTATATGACCAAGTAAACCTGTGTAAGAAAAAAAAAGACTATACATTCCTAAAAGAATGGGAGGGAAAAATAGAGGTGTATTTTATTTTTTGATTCCCCTCATGTCCTGTAAAAACAGTAATGATGATTTCATAACTAGAAATACTCAGACAAATGCTGTAATTTCTGAGTTTGTAATTTTTTTATTCTATATTAAGAGCATCAACTCGTATATTTTAGTTTGCCTTTTCATATTATCTTAATGTTGTTTCTATTGTGGTAGAATATACCAGATGGGTGGGATATAAATCGAACAAATAAAAAAATAAATAAATAATTGTAGATATATTTTGAACTTGATTATTATTCCAGTGAAGCTGGAAATATAACTAACTGGAAAACATCTTGTACAATCTGGAGCATATTAATTTAGAAGCCCTTTTCTCCCGGTTTCACAAAGATATCCGTAGAGACAGAATCCTATATTCATAGTGTGAAGTCAAAGGCAGTTCTCATATTCCTAATTTTAAACTGATTTCCCTTGAAGTCTTCCTTTACCAACGTCACCTTGTCTGAACTACGTGCAGTAACACTGTCATAAAAATGTTTCCCAGAACATTCTGTGTTTTGAGGCTAGCACTTCCTTGCATTGTATTTCCCACTCGTAGAAGATGGTTGGCATATGAAGGGTTAGCCGATAAGGAACCTGGAAGTGTTGTACGTGTTGCACTGGAACCAATCTTGTAGCAGATGAGGCAATTCTGTAGTTAGTTGCAGTATTTTAAAGAGACAGTGGGTGGCAGCATTCTAATGGTTTTTGAATGGTTGAATCAAAACCAGGAGGATGCTGTGGATAGACAACTACAACGTGAAATAGATTTTTGGCTTCTACATTACTGTTTCAGTCTCTAAAACATAAATCAGAAAAATTATTCGGTGGTCTCATTATGTTTATTTAAAAAACTGAAAATTATCTGTAATAATACAATAATCTCTCCTACATAGATGGGGTATAGGGAAGGTGAGATTCAAATGTTCCAGGTTTAACTTTAAAAATGTATACCGTATATTAAAAGAATATGAAATACATACACACAAAATTTTACAAAACTAAGAAATAAAAAATGTAATACATATATACACATACAAAGTGCCCCTCCTCCACCAGGACCTTTTGAAGATATGCTGCATTTATTTCATTTATCATGCCCTATTCTGTGTCCAAAACTGCATTGATTCTTTTGATGGTACATGGCCCTTCCCTTTTGTTTAATGCATAGTCAATAAAAACTCTACAACTATTTCTAAAGGTATTTTTTATTCTTCAAACCCTTTTAAAACTTAATATCACAAGAGACTTTATCCTTACTGTATTCCATACTTAATATCAGTCATTTAACTGAAATACATGTTTTAAAATCCGATTTTTACCTATAATTAATTTTGCTACTGATACTAAATTTGTTATCAGTTCTTTTACTGTCCAGCTTTATTGTTCTTTATCAAACATTGACAGCAGTGTTATATGCAGGGTAAACTCTACATTTAACTCCAATATTTCATAATTTTTTTCAAAAGCCAGCTCCCAAAATTTCCTTACATTTTTATATTCCTGCCACATATGAAAATAAGTACCAATACTGTATAGGTATCGCATCTCCAACATAAATTTGAGTATTTACAATTCAATTTTACCAGTGTTAAATACTATTTCCAAAGTAGTTTATATTAATGTTCTTTTATTCTTACTGGCTTACATTTTAATATTATTTTATTCCAAAGGTTTTTCCATATATCAGTACTTATTTTATTTCCCAAAT